CTATTATCAGAGCCACTCTAAGAAGAGTCTGTTCCTCAGGGATATCTTCTGTGTGTCAGAGATTTTGGGTTTGAGTCTGTCCTGTGATCCTTCTTTCTCTATTGTTTGAGACTGGAATGTTGAGTTTTGTTTGGCACTGTCCTCCATGTTTCAGTGTAGGTCTTTGGTACATTTATTCTCCAATGGCTTCACAATATTATTACCCAAGGGAGGACAAGTGGTCAAGACAGTTAAGCTATCCTAGTTATAGCAGCATTATTAGCAATAATATATATATATATATATATATATTTTTTTTTTTTTTTTTCAGAACCAGGGATTGAACTCAGGCCCTTGCACTTGTCAGGGAAGCACTTAGTCCACTGAGCTATCTACCCAGCCCCAGCAATAATAAAAATATCTGGTGAAATTTAGAAATTGAAAAACTGGTAAGTAATAGTTCTGTACTTTAAAGCATAAGAGCAAAGGCTATCACTATATAATCAAACAGGTAATAAATTGTGCATTTCTATGCAAAATGTTTCAACTTTAAGACCCTACATAATATGATGGAACAACATTTAAAATTAGACTATATTTTTAAAAATAGATATAAAGAATTATATAATTCTTAGTTTACACATAAGTTCAAAAATCTAAGCATATACAACCTTGAAGTAGGACAGTCCCACATTATCCCTTTTCATGTCTCTTGCCTTCCTTCACCACCCGCTTCTTTTTGAACAGTCTTCTATCCAAGAGACAGTACAGCAGCAACTGGCATGTCATGAGAAGCAACCCATATTCAGAAGAACAGAATAACAGGCATTCCAAGCATGAAACTTCTATTACAGATTACCCTCTTCAGTGCAGTTACTTAGTTCACATGTATCAGTATATATAATTAGTAACAACATATCAATACTTGATGAAAAATACCTGTTTCATGTTATGCCTAAGAAGTTTGATATTCAGACAGATAGTGAGATTATGCTCAACAACCTAGGTTATATGGTAATAACAATAAGATTCTCTTCTGGAGGGTTAACAACCTAAGTTTGCAGACTAAAATTAGAGCAAAAGGAGGTCAGCAAGAAAAGCCAACATTGGGCTGGAGAGATGGCTCAGTGGTCTAAAGCACCTACTTAGAACAAGCTTAGCGAAGCACAGGGACCACGGTTCAATCCCCCAGCACCACATGCCAGCCAGCCGCGCCCCCTGGTGGGCTGAGCTGGCCTCTCTCTCACACACACACACATACATAATAAAATAAAAAAATTTAAAATAAAAAAAAAAAAGAAAAGCCAACATTTTGGCCCAAGCCGTCCAAGGTCAATTAAGACTCAGGACATATGAAAACTTGTACTGTAACGTCATTTAACTCGGTAGTGCCCCAAATTTTCTGATCAAGGAGATTATGGAGCCAAAGAGGACAGTGATCAATGATGTAGAGTGTGCCTAAGGAGAGTCATATGGAGAGAAAACATTCTCTCACGCTTTCACAGAGAGCATATTGGCCAAGCAATGGCCGTGACTCATCCACATGGCTGACACTGACAAAGGTTCTACAATCTGAGGTACAGGATCTCAAGATAAATCCTGAGGGGATTTCACTGACCTTATCAGACCCAAGAGCTACAGCTCTTGTCGCATCGGTCCTGCTTTACCTTGGTCTTAACCATCCAGCAGAAAAGTATAAAAATGAATATAAGAAGTAAAGCCATGGTGTTATGTTGAGCTGTAAGGGACTCAGGTCAACAATTTCTGACATTGCCAGTCAAGCAGAAGACCCAGTACTATTATGGACTACTGGACTCTTATAGAATATTCTGCTGAGTTAACACACTTATAATATTCATATAATGGAACTTAATGAAAAAAGGGGATACAGGTGAATGTCCATTTTTTATCTGTGCATTCAAAATGGTTAGGATAGATATATAGTTACATTCTCACAATGAATAGAGGAATTTGTTCTAATAGTGTTTATAAATAGGATATCATGTCCGCATCTTGTATATTAATTAACCACTAGGAAGAATATATGCATTGTGTTAATTATTGAAAGTGTCCTAGCAATTTGGTTTGAAACTGTCTCATTGATATTTGTTTCTCAATAAAATTTTGGGAAAAAATAGTTCAACTTATTAGAGCAAATATTTTCTGTGTTCCTCTGTCTATGTGAATGGCAAAGTTGCATGTATTTCCCTTCATTAACATGATGGACCTGAAACCTGGATTCCTCTGGTTTATCTAGTTACCCAGGGTTCTGCATATCTCTGAGCCAGTGCCTTTGGAGAGTGGACCAGACACCTGGATTCCTCTGGGCAGGGTAGTTGGCCAAAGTTCTGAGTGTTTCCATGCTGTTCTCTGCTGAAGAATGGTTTTTATACTGGGATTCCTCTATGCAGAGTAGTTCCCCTGAATTTGGTTGTCTCCTTACCACATACGTGGGCTACTCCAGGCAGACTCAGTGTACCTTTTATGCAACTGTAGTTTTAAGATATTTTTTCAATTTGAACTTCTTCCACATTGTCTTAAACTCACAGAATTGCAGTTTGTCACTTCACAACACTAAAATGAAAGAGGCAATAAGATTAAGCACTGTTGACCACTTAAAAGTCCCAAATATATTTTAGAAAATCCTAAAGAGCTATTGTATGTGACACTTCATTTTTTCAGAACCTGAAATGTCTCTGTGTGTGTGTGTGTGTGTGTGTGTGTGTGTGTGTGTGTGTGTTTATACTGAGAGGTTAAATTCAAATGAGCAGTGGACAAGAATTCAGAAGGGAGTAAAGACCTGGAAATGATAGAAGATCAATGACATTACTTCACTGCTAGGTTCATCAAATATTTTCATAGTAAAATATGCTTTCTCAGGAAGCACTGACAGATGGAATAAGGTAAAACAATCTACCATACCTGTGAATTCTCCACAGTGCCAGATGGACCAATTTAGAGGCTGTGAAGAAATGTCAGTTATTATTAAGTGAAGTCCTCTGAGACCAATAAGCAGATTGGTTTGCAAATATTTTTCCTGCTGGGGCTCTGATAATGTACTGTACACTGACCCTGTGACCATCATTCATTAACTCTGGGTGGTAGTGGATCATTTTGTGTAATACAGCTCTGACTAGTACTGATGATACATTGATTCTATTTCATGAACTTATGAAATTGATTTGGAAATATAAGTGTGGATATTTGCTTGAGGCATTATGTAACTCTTATTCCCTGAGGATTAATGTGTTAGAATTTGTAATGCACTCTGAAGATAAAAATTGCTATATAAATAATGGCCATTATCCTGTGGTCTGCGCAGTGGCAGCTACTTTATTAGGAAAGGGGATAAAAGACCATGATAAAAAGTCAGATGCTTGCTGTCTTGTCAGCCATGCAACCATGGCACCATTCACAGAAATGAATCAGTTTTCTTAAAATGATCACTACACCATATCTGAAGAAAAAAATATTATTTGTTTTTATTTATTTTTTTGCAGAACCGGGGGTTGAAAAAAATTATTAAAAGCAAATAAAGTGTCTTTGTAACCTGATAAGCTTGCAAAGTTTTGAACAGCTGAAGATTTCTATTTGAGCCTGGCCTCTAGCCAGAATATATGCCTAACAATAATTCCTTCAATTACTGCTTTTGTACCAGTGTTATGCTGAATGGTAAAAAGACCCTTGATATGCATACTTCTTATTCTAGGTCTCTGAGAAGACCTCTAGTACACCTGGGTAAAGTGACAAGTGATAAAACCAAACCTAAATTTGAGTACCAACTCCATTTTAATTAAAAAAATAAGTGAATATCTACTTGAAAATATATGACATCCAAAATGACACATTGACTTGTCTCTAATTTCATATTTGAGCCACCAAAAGGCTCACAGAGGCAACTTTGTATCTAAAATATGTCTTAATGCTAAGAAGTACTTAGGGCATAAGCCTTAAATCTGAAAGAGGGTCTATACAGGAATAAATTTTTAAATCAGTTATGCGTATAATTTGGGATTTCACACAACCTTAGATTATTAGTATATATTTATCTCCTGTTAGTATATTAGTTCCAAAATACGAATTTTGCACAGTATATAAATCTAAGAAGTAGAAAAGGTTTTGACATTGAGTAAATGAACTGTTATAAGAGGATACATGGTAAATATAGGCACATGTATATGTTTTATAAATAAGTTACCAAACCTATCAATTTCTTCATGTTTTTTATCTCTAAAAGGAGAAAGAAGACAATACTATAAATTATGAAGTCAAAAGGAAATAATAATGTACGGATGTTAGAACAGAACCTGGTACATGAAATTGAAGACTTCTCAGGGCCAGCTAGATAGCTCAGCAGACTAAAGCACCTGCTTAGGCTTTAGTGCAGCAGCCATAGTTAGATCCCTGGGGTGTTGTGCCAACCCATCCCCCAAGGTGAGCAGAAACATTGATTGAGACATTTGAAACTGGGCATGTTGGCACATGCCTATAATCCCAGCACTTGGGAAGCTGAAAACAGGAGAATCACTACAAGTCCAATCTACGTAATGAGAGCCTGTAGATCCTGTAGACTCTGTCCTAAATACATTGAAAAAAGGATATGTATTCTCTCATTTATAAATTCTATATTAATTTTTCAATATTTACTTTTATCATAAAGTGGTGATGACCACACATCCTTGGATTGTCCATGTATACATATCAACAAATGAAATTTCTTCTTGACCAGCTACCTACTCCCAGTGGGCCAATTTTGGGGCTTGCTATGAACAAATTCTCATTTATACTTTTTCCACAGATGGCCCTTTTTCTCCATCTGTCCTTATTGAGTCACTTGTTTCAGGTCTTCATTTCCTAAATCCTCCGAAACCCACCACAATACAGCTTTATAATATGTCCTCATGAAAAACATAAAATCTCACCCTTATAGATATGAGCTATGATCTCCAATTTTGGGGATCATAAGCACCTCGAGACTCTTCCCTTGTAAATCTCTTCCTTGTATCTCTTTTTTTCTTTTTTGCTATGACACCACACAGCTTCCAAACAAGAGTTTCCATATCCTCTCTGGATTTTGGGTGTTTTCTTTACACTTCTGTGTTAGCCATTTAAGACACTGTGTGAACCTTAAAGGGGCATGTAGGGGCCAGGGGTTCAATCCCTGGGCATGCCATACTGGTGCTGCCGCTGGAGCATTCCGAGATGGCAATTGAGATGTGGCATGGTGGCACAGGCCTGTAATCCTAGTTCTTGGGAAGCTGTAATGAGGTAGATCACTATGAGACCAATCTAGTAGTGGGACTCTGAACACCCTCTAGGCCCTTCCAGAAAGTACAAGAAGATGAAGAAGAAGAAGAAGAAGAAGAAGAAGAAGAAGAA